ATATCTTAATAGTTCTTATATTCCTAACAGCTGGCACAAAGTAAACAGTCAATAATTGTTATTAGAAAATATTTTAGGATTCTGTGTTTCAACCATATCTGTGTTAATTGGCTAATTGGCTTGTCATTTTTTCTGAGGAACCTAAAGTTATAAAAACTCTTATAATTTATATAGAAAATAATAATCACATGATTGTAGTTGACCCATTCAACTTTTGGGGGGAAATATGGATCATACCTTAGTTACTAGTTTTCTATTTTAATACTTCTACCACTTCCAAATGATCTGTGTAGGTACATCCTTATTCAATGGCTTTCACTAATTAAATTACTAACCACAGTGGGCCTACGGAAGAGAATATATAGTCTATCTGTTGATGCTTGAATCCTATTACTGAGGTTTCAGAAATCTATTCTTGAAGAACAGAAAATATATATTCTCTATATTTAAACAGTATTGTATTATATTCTTTATTATAGATTGTAGTCATCTTAAAGGTGTATTTAAACACATAAAAAGCTTTTTTTTAGGAAAAAAAAGTTGAAATATAATCAGATGACTTATGCTTAATGCTTATACTTAACAAAAGATCTGGTAGGCCCACACAATAACTTTTAACATCAGATTTTGAAATTGCACAAAATAATTAAAAAAAAAAAAAAAAAGTCAAGTTATTGGAAAATTTAACTCCACTGTCATCTACAGTTTTTCAAAGGCATCTGGCTCCCTGTGTAGTGATATATATTTCTAAGGTCTCAGACTAAGTGATTTCCCATCTTATCCATATTTATATTTGTTTCTGAATACTTAAAGGTTTTTCACCTTTTCTAGCTATATAGTGATAATAATTACCAAAATGTAGAAATAACCTAATTAGTTAATTAATAGCCATATTGGAAGATTTGGATCAACTTTGTGAGATTTGACAATTTCTAATTTTCTTACCCCAAGAGGTTCTCTGTGGGAGGAAGGGGACAGGAATCAAAAAAAGAGTGAAATCTTTAAATGGATGATGAAAATTTACAGTAAGCCGATGACCAAAATCTATACCTGCCCCTATAAAGTAGTGTTTAAAAATAACAAAGTATGCCTCATTTTTTTGGTGGTAGTGCTGTACTGGAAATACAAGTTGTTTGGTTCTCTAGTACCACTGTAACAGAAAATACCACAAATGTATGGCTTTAACAAACAGGGATCTATTCTTTTACAGTTTAGGAGGCTAGAAGTCTTGAGTTCAGAGTGCCAGCTCTAGGGGCTGGTGAAGGCCATTTGACTTTGGGCTTCAGCTCTGCCTCTGACTCCTGGCCCCATGGAAGCTGGAGGTGCCTCTTAACTCAGGCAGCTGCTGACTGCTGAGGCTGACAAACCCAAGGTCAACAAGTAGAGTGGCACAGCCCCCAAATTACTGAGCAACACAGCAGGTCACTGGTTCAAGTCCAGGAATAGTCTCAAAATTGGCAGACAACATGGCAGGCCACTGAGATGACTTGGCCAAATGCAGAATCCAGATGTGCCGAAAAGCTCAAGACCTTCCTCAAAGCTGCTGCTTATACAATAGAAGCAGATCACATCCCTTTAGCAGCTACTCAGCTGCACATAGTAGATTCAACCATGGAGTTCATTACCAGTGTCATCAGGGGAATAACTACATCCAGTTACCTAAGCATTCAAAACCAGGACCAGGCAAATTGACACATAACCTTAACTACCACAGACGGGAATGAGGTTAAGGGGACAGAACATTAGCTTCTTGGGTCTGGGTCTGTTATATATGTAAATGACTTTAAACCTGTTTCATGTGACTTTTTCTTCAAAGAATATGCATTAATCTCATGACCAGAAATTGGGTGGTAAATACTGTTTTTTTCAAATGGGAGCAATAGTTCCTCAATTATTAGTAATCTCCTTGAAGGCTTTGTAGAAGCCCCAGTGATGGAGTGGTTAAACATTCATTTGGCTGCTAACCAAATGGTCATCTGTTCAAACCCACCAGCTCCTCTATGGGAAAAAGCTGTGGCAGTCTGTTTCCGTAAAGGTTTACAGCCTTGGGAACCTTATGAGCTGTTCTGCTCTGTACTCCAGGGTTGCTGTGAGTCAGAATCAACTTGATGGCAGTGAGTTTGGGTTTGATGAGGGTTTTGTGTGTAAATTACTAATTTAGATAGAGACTAAAAAAAAAAGGCGCTGAAATTGTTGGTCTCTCTAGGTGATTATTATAATCGAGTCTAGAGCTGTAATATGAAATAAGTTGAGTTTTACTTTTTCTTCAGCTTATATTACATCATTTTATAATAGGAGATAGACTACCTATGTTGATAAGATAATCTGTCTCTACATGGGATAGCTTAAGAATATTGTAAAAATTAACATACTGAGATATGAAATTCTTTGGACTGTGTCCTACGTAATTTTTTCTTTTTAGTAGAATATATGTAGTAGAAGACAGAAATATACAGTTAGGGTAAGTGAAAATTTATCTTAAAATATTTTCTACCATGGGAACAAATTCTCAGTTCCTCATGAATTCAACTGAATGTCACCATTTTGACTTTTTTTTAGTGTCAAAGACTGTGACAATATATATTGTAGTTTTATGTCTTCCTAATTTTAGTTATTACTCTTACAGATACTGTTTTTTAGTTACTTGATAATTTGTGAATGATTATATAATTCTTGGGGGTTTTTTTATGAGAAAAATAATTGGGCACATGCTTTAATAGCCATTGGACTTGACTTCATTATTGTGCTTATAGTAGAATCTGTTGTTTACCTAATTTAATAATAATTTTATCATAGCAGCTTAACATTTTTTATAATTTTAATTGTTATCAAGAAGAATGGCATCATTTAATTTGGCTCAAAATGCAGAAGGATGGATGAATGACAAATTAATAATTTACTACCTTTGCATAATACTAAAGCATAGAATATTAGAAGGATTGATGGCAGAAAAGGTTAACAAATTTTAGCAGCTTTCATTAGCTTTACATCGTCATATGTTTGTGGTGCTGACTGAAATAGGCTTTGTAGGAGATCTCAGTCTAGGGAACTAATTACTTGTGCCGATTGCCGCACTGATGAATAGACCCTCATTGTATCATTCCCCTGAAGATGAGGAGCAGCCTGTGATTCACGACTGCATCCTGGCTGATATTTGATAATAATTTTAACAGATAAATGTAGGTAGGCAGAATGATGAAGTGCCTATCCAAGCTCCACGACTATCAAAGCCATACACATAGCCATCTGTGTACCGCCTTTTTCCCTCTCAAACAATCACCTAAGGAGAATTTTATGTTATGTATTGAGCTCAAACTACGGTTGTCTTTTGCTTGCATGTTTGTACTGTGGGTATTTTTGATTATTTTTAAATGGTACCTTAGTATTGCTGCTTATTTAAAATTTAGACAGCAAAATAATGAAAAGTAGAAGAGAAGATCCTTTGCATTTTTCTTTTGTGAGGACTGCAGTTCTTAGACTATTTTGTTTTGCATTTCGATTATATTATATCTCCTCCTTCTCATGCATGATCAACATCAACAAAGGAAATATTTGATCTTCTTATTTTCTCTCTACCATTCTCAGAAAAGAGCATTTGGTCTCTATTGCTTTTTGAATAATATGTTTGCTACCTATGCTTTTATTAACTTGAGACATTTTTTTTTTTAATTAATAAAAGTGTTTATTTACAAATCTATTTGAATCTGTAAAGATGTCATCTTTAAAACGTCAAAATTAGGGTAGCTTTTGCTTGTATATTTTGAGACTGTCAATTGGTCAAAATTACTAATTTGTCAGAGCTGACAAGTACACAGTTTTATTAGCTCATGAAATAGAAGATTTTGTTTGTATTAGTCATCCCTGTAAAAGTTTTAGTTATAAATAAAATGTTTATTTCGTTATTGCAACATACAGGTTTTCATGCTGTAAATATTTGGTGAATAAAAATATTCTGCAGGTTTTTTTTTTTTTTTTTTTACAATAACTGAAAAAATCTTTATACTAGTATTTTCCCTATCAAATATTTTCAGCATGCTTGATCATGATTAGCTAACGGGAGAGGAAGTTGACATTTATATATTGCCACATAAAAGATCTACATAATTGGGGAAAATATAGAAGAACTTAAATTGAGTGAACCCTTTTTTTAAAAATACATTTCCAAAAGTATGCTTTCGATATAGCAATTATTGCACATCATATAGCATGTAGTTTTTAATTAAATATAAAAACAGACTACATAAAACAGAAATCCAATCTGATTTGCTTGAAAATAGATTGCTATTTCACTCTACAGGAATGGTTTATTTAAAAACAGTAAATGGAGAAGAAATGCATTTTCTTGTGTTGTTCTAAGCCTCAGGGGCTAAATGTAATGAATATTTTAAGAGATTATTTTAATTAAATTCCTACACATCTAAACAGAGTAATATTTTATTATCACATACATAACCATGTAACTGAGATATTCATTAAAGTTAACACTTTCTGGACCAAGAATTCATGGTATGATTTACTGACCTTGTGCAAAAAGGCACAAATTAGGAAGAAAAATGAAGGGGGACAGACTTTGATTAATATAGGTAATGCTATACCATATTTATAATAGCCTTTTCCCTATTCTGGTTTATAAATGCAGCCACAGAGAAAGGTGCCCTGCTGAGGCTGAAATGAGGCTGAAATCAGAGCACATGCCACTAGAGTGTGGGGAAACTGATCACACTGTCAGCAATTCATTTCAAAATGATGTATTTAGTGCTCATTTCACCTTCCAAGAAAAAGGGAAAGGAGTTCCTTAGACTAGAAGGTGATATTGTTATTTTCAAGGACATACCTAAGTTAAAGATTGCAAAAATGGGGAGTGTGAGGTGGAGGGAGAATTAAGAGGAAGGGGAGGGGGAAAAAAGGCAGAGCAAACAAGGAGAGCTTTATGCAGAAAATCAGTGCTACCACGCTGTTTTATAATTGCTAACATATGTGGCTTCTCTGTTTCATTGTAGTCGTCCTCGTGAGTTCTGGCGCCTTGACTACTGGGAAGATGACTTGCGGCGCCGGCGACGATTTGTGCGTAACCCTCTAGGATCGACACATCCTGAAGCGACACTAAAAACAGCCGTGGAACATGGTCAGTGTATAAACCACTCCTTGCCAATAGCAGCAGGTACAGTACTTGGTAATGAAGAGCATGACTTCATTATTACAAGACACTGTAAAATGATCCAGTACCATGTTTTATAGTTATTCTGCCCAGAAAGAGGAGTTAAGTTTTTTTATAGTTTGTGTAGGGGCCTATAAACTTACAATGTCAAGTGTATGTATTTATTTATTATGGTACACATATACAACTTACTTAACATAGACCCTTTGTTTCAGAGTTGAGGAAAAAGTATTTCTCCTTTTAAGTGACACATTCAGCCTTGGGAAAATGATTCTAGGAGGACTGCCTTAATAAATCCATGAATGTCAGAAGGACAACATTTACACATCAAATAGGTTTCCAGGTTCTATTATGTGTATATGGTTTTCCCCCACCACGATCTTTTAGCACAAGATTATGAAGTGAAAGAGATGATCATAAATGTCCTCGTGCCTAGACCCTCTCTAAGCCTTGATTTGTGGATGGTTGTGATAGATGACTCTCAGAAAACGAGAATAGACATTATTTTCATATGTTCCTATTCTGCATCATCTTGTTATCAGAGCTCAACAAAACATTTTTCCTTTTTTGATATAATGCATAGCACACTGTGATTCACTTTTTGTATAAGTCTGATAAGCAAATTGGAAAAACTGAACAGGTCCACTGGTTAGTCCTTTGGATTTGACACTATGTTTTCTTTCATCATGGATTTTCATTTCTTATTTTATGGTTTTTGAAAGCCAATTAAGATACATTAATTAAGGGGGGGAAAAAGGCCCTCCCAATTTAAAAACTATTTGGATTTTAAAGAATATAAAGTGGGTATATTTTATCAAGCTAGAAAATAGTTTTAATTTCTCTTTTTCTGTGTATTAGTTTAATATGTGGTAGTTTATGGTTAAATTATAATACACAGTATATAAAATAAATGTTAAACACATTTAATAAGGATATTAAGAATTCAGATTAAAATCTGTAATATTAGATTTGGTCTCAGTCAGGCAGTTTAACCTCTTGCACTCAGCCTTAAAGAGCCATTTCTGGGAGAAAATGTCCACAATATGTCATCAGATATAACACCAAATGTGACATCAGTCCTTTAAAATAAATGACCATACAGAGAATAGTCAATAACAAAGTGATCTAAAAGCAATAATAGTCCCAGGGCCCTACATCTTCAACTACAGGAGGTGGAGAAGGAGAAATAAGATGTAGAATTAATTAGGCCACTTTTGCTTTTAGGATTCATATTCTTTTTATGTGATGCCACTGTATTACAGAGTTCAGAGTTATATTATTTTTTTCTTTACTTTTTTTTGCCTTTAGTTAATAATCCTTACATTGAAAAGTCAGTGTTTTGCAATTATATCCTTTGAGCTGAATAGATGTTACCATGTGCACTGAAAATTTGAAACATAATTTCATTTTTTGAATTATCATGTAACAGTGATTTTATAGTTCTAAGGTCTGTGCATGGCAATAAAAATATTTTTATAAACATATTTCCTTTTTTTTAAAAAACATACTTCCTTTTATATCTGAAAAGGGAAGACTGGTTTTGTAAAATCACACATAGGCAAACTGTTAATCCTTTATGTGGGATATATATCAGTAAGTGAATTTAAAGTTTATGGTGTAAATTTAATATGGAATTTATTGAAACACGTCTTTATTAAAAACAGCAAAATTAATCATTTGGGGAGTTAGGATTCTTCCTAATGAAAAAATAATAACTTTATTGGTGTTGAACTTTACCTTTGAAAATAGAGAGTCAGTTTTAGGAGTCTACAGTGCTGTTGCTTAAATAAAATGAGCACTACTTACTGTAATTTAAGAATTTGAAAATCTGATATAGAAATGGATTTCACTCTAATTAGTCTAAATAATAATTGAAGGGTTGGTTCAATTATTAATTAATTATCTCTGTTTATTAATGCATTTTTAAATCAAGAGAGAGGAGAATAAAGTTAAGCATTTTATGTGATTCTATCATACTTAGTAATATTTTGCTCTAATCATACAATGATTAATATTTAAAACAAATTATCAAAGGTTAAAAACAAAAGTTTGTTTGAAATACATATATATTTTTAAAAACTAACCAAATATGTAGAAGATGCTTCTATAGTCTTACTTGTATGTCATCTTTAATGTAATATTTTTTGGAAAAAAGGTACATGCTCTAATGAATCATACTTTGTGTATATTTTATTTGAAAAAATAAACATTAGACAATTTCAGAGTTCAATACTTAGATTTTACCATGGTATCATTTGATGTCGGCATAATTTATGGTAATACATTCTATAAGCAGAGAGCTTAGTTATTAAATGTTTTATTAAATAAAGTACTTTGCATTTGAAATGTTCGATTATAATTATTATTTTTAAATTTCATCTTTAAATAGTTTTTGGAACATGAAGAAAGCTATTCAAAATAAACTTACTTTGAATCATGTATGCAGAACAAAGTAGATAACATGATCAAAAAAAGTTGAAATCATGGAATTTAACACAGATACTATTGTGTTGTTGAATTCATATAGATTTGTATGACTGAAGAGAGTATGCCTGTTTTATATTGTTTTATGCCTTCATCTCAGTTTTAACTGTAACTGATTTAACTAAGGAGATAGGATACTTTAAAAATATGAATTTTCAGAACATCATGAACTATATTATCATTATCAAAGGAAGACATTGAAATAGAAGTGCAGTTGGAGATGTATATTTTAGTAGTAAGAGCCATCTTTTTTATAGATTGATTTGATTTGAAGGAAAGCCTCTGGTGTAAAGGTGGCAGAGTAAATACCTAAAGAGTGATGTTCTCTGTTCAGGCGATCAATACTAGCCCCATGACTCTACTTCTGGCTACCTTCTAGTTAAAAACAAATTTTTTAATTCTGACAATTTAATTGCCCTTCCCAAGTTCACATTAACTTGCTTGGGGAAAAGAGCTTTAGGTAATTTTTCAAAAAGAGACCCTCCAAAGTGGGTTATTTATAAAAGTCATGTTGCAATGGGAGATTTCTTTAACTTTTCAGAACTGAGTCATATTTTAAAATTAAAATTAATACTTCCTTCTTTATGCTTAAATATTCTTTATGGAAATTAGCAGCAGGCAAAGGTGGATATTTAATTCTTGAGAGCATTTCTTTCCATTTTATGTTTTAAAATTTATTAGAAATTGATTGTAAAGATTCCTAACATTCTCCTAATGCACAGAGCCCAGTTGGTCAGTTATTTATTATCAGAGCATTTTAAATCTGGAAAGAACCTAAGGCTAAAGTCTACTCCAACTTTATTCTTTACAGATAAGGAAACTGAGGACCAGAGGCTATGCCTAATTCATTTTAGATATAGGACTAAAGGCCAGGTTAACTGACTGCTAGTCAGATTCTTGTGCCATTGTGCTATGCTGTCTTTCAAAATTCATTGTTAAATATAATGGGAATTTTATATTCAAATTAAAGGTGCATAAAAAATGTTTTAAATGGTAGAAAGATTGGGTTTAACTCACGTAATAAAACAATTTAGCAGTAGAATTCTATTGAATTCAAGACATTTTTATTTTGTGCAGGATATATATGCCAAGTAGGGATATGTGAAAAGGATTTAACAGTGTTTAAAGTATCTTCTAAGTGTATAGAATGATAGGAGTAACTCATCTGGTTTTGTGAGGGTGACAGACCATGTAAAAACCTTAAATCATGCCATTTGGTCAGAACTTCACTTTTCATTTCTTTGTTGTTGTTGTTATTTGCCATCGAGTCGGCCCCGACTCCTAGCGACCCCTCCTTGGGTTTCCGAGGCAGTTATCACTACGGAAGTAGGATTGCCCAACCTTCCTTCCGAGGAGTGGCTGGTGGGTTTGAACCGCCAGCCTCCTGGTTAGCAGTCAAGTGCCTTAGGCACTATGCTACCAGAGCTCCTTTTCATTTCTTTAGTAATCAATATATACTTTTGGAAGGAAGGTTGGGCAATCTACTTCCATACAGATACTACCTTGGAAACCCAAGAAGGGGTCGCTATGAGTCGGATATGACTCGAGGACAGTGCGTTGCGTTGTTTGCATTGTTACATACTTGGTTCTTTATCTAAAATTTTTGGGAAACCTGTGATCAGTAGGAGATGCACTTGTTCTCCTAATCATGTTTTGTAGTTTGACTAACCTTGCTCCTCGAGTATGTTGTCTTGACTTGGAACCTTGTGGAAGTAGCATAAACTATGTAAAAGGAGGATTAATTAGATCAGGACAAGAGCTGATTATAATGTGTTGTTTCTATGTGTAGAATATAGTTGTGGTGTGTGCTTCACATCACACTAAATGGATACCCATATTTATTTTATGAACATTTAAGGTCACTTTGTTATTCTCTACTAATAATCTTTTAAAAATTGGTATTTTAAAACAATGTATAAACTTATTTTTATTAAAATATGGATTGTTGATAATTCCAGTTCACTGGCTCAGTGAATATTATGAAGGGAATTTGTTTATCATAGTAGATGAAGTTTTCTTTGTTCCTTTTCTATTTTAATTTTACTTACCTAACCTGTCCTGTGTTGGATAGATAAATTGACTCATGATCAGAGCTAGCTCTAAGCCAGGACCAAAGAACTTCAACTGAACATTTTGAGGACCAGCTTCTTTCTGAGTCCTCACATTGCCCTTGGCCTCAGTGAACTACAAGTCATGTTTCAAGGAAAGCACTTCTGATTAATTTCTACAACTTATGTAACAACTTCAGCTCAGTTATTAAGTTGGGATGAATATTAAACTCAGGAAAAAAAGATGATGTTACATGAAGTCCATCTAGTCAACAATAATATAAAAAATTTAACTAGTTACCATTTTTAGTAACAGTTTTGTTAGCCAGGAAATATCTGAGTCGAGCTTTTAAATTGAACCAAAGTCTGTTCTGATTTCATCCAATTAGACTTTTAAACTATTGTAGAAAATTCTCACAGAAGATATCAAAATAGTTGATATTTGTTTATAGCAGTTGATTGAGTGGGTATAAGGCAAATGGAAATTAAAAATATACTTTGCTCAGCATGTATAAACATGATTATCTTTTATTTTATGCTTGGGACAGTTTTGTTCTAATTTTGAAAAAAAAAAAAAAAAAAAAGTTCTTTAGCAGAAAGCTATTAGACCACTGAGAATTGAACACCAGCGCATGTGGTGTGTGTTAGAGCACTGTTGGTAATTTTACTGCTGCTAACTTAAAATCCTCAAGGGGGAGTTAATTACAGGAAAACCATTCTAAATATCAGTAAGCTGCATATTTTCCATGACAAGAGGTTTTTCTGTTGAGGTTGAACAATTCCACAATCTGAGCTTGTAAAAATAAGTAAATAAATAAATTAAAGTGGGTGTCTGCGCAGTACACCTAAAGTACATTAACATTTTTTTGGTAAAACTTTAGTTAATTCATAAGTTGCTGTATTTTACCATGAGTCAGCATAAAGAGACTATTGAAAATTTTTAGAATTCCAGTTGAAAGGTGTAATTTAAAATTATATTTAGGTGGTCACATTAAAGAATGTGAATATTTACTGAGGTATTTAAAATCATTGTATATTGCCACTGAGTATTCTCTTTTTTGTTAATGTTTGCAGATTAAAGCTTTTTTATTTTTTTCTGTCTGAAGAAGTTCATGATACATCACCTCTTTTCCCTGAGTTTAAAATTCATCTCAACTTAATAACTGAGCTGAAATTGTTACATAAGTTGCAGAAATTAATCAGAAGTGTTTTCCTTGAAACATGACTTGTAATTCACTGAGGCCAAGAGCAGTGAGAGGACTCAGAAAGAGGCTGGTCATCAAAATGTGCAGTTGAAGTTCTTTGGTCCTGGCTTAGAGCTAGCTCTGGTCATGAATTGATTTATCTATCCAACACAGGACAGGTAGGTAAGTAAAATTAAAATAGAAAAGGAACAGAGAAAACCTGATTTGGAAATGAATGCTTTTTATTCTTTACATGTTTATTATGATACTGATTTAACTTATTAAAATCCACTATGGAAAACATATTTAGCAAACTCATTAGTTAATTACATATTCATATGTACGTATTTGTTTATGTGTGTATATATACACACATAATTTTTTTTCCCTTTTTTCTCCTTGCTTGTGTCTGTTATTGTTTTTATGTGCCATGGAGTCAGACCCGACTCACAGCGACTCCTCCTTGGGTTTCCAAGGCAGTATCACTACAGAAGTAGATTGCCCAACCTTCCTTCCGAGGAGTAGCTAGTGGGTTTGAACCGTCAGCCTTCTGGTTAGCAGTCAAGTGCCTTAGGCACTACGCTACCAGAGCTCCTTTGCTTGTATCTAAGAGCTAGTACGTTCACAGCATAGTGGCTGTTCTCAGCATAGTGGTGAAGAGCCAAGACTCTAGCACCATACTACCTCTATTTATACCCTGATTCTATTTCTCACTAGTTATTTAACTAGTACTTATCTAGTTAAGTACTCTCTGAGCCTGTTTACTCTTTTGAAGATTAGGAGTTAGTACAGGATGTATGCAAATTAAATGAATTAACATATGTATGCACTTTAAACACTCCTGGCACATGATTAGTGCTATATAATATAAGCTATTATTATTATTATTATTTTATTTGAAGAAGGAATTTAAATCCAGGAAATGAAGACAATTAACATACTGATTCTGTACTAAAATCTAACTGGCAGTTGATAATTTATTATAATTTATAGGAAACTCTAGAAGATGGTACTTCTGTGTTTCTTAGCGAGCAATATATGTTTAGTAAATTGGAAAGGATATTGTTTGGACTAAGTACAGTGTTTCTGATTTCAGAGTAAGAAATATAAATACTTCAAATAGAAACAATGACATGAATAATTATACTGGTATTTTTCTAAAATGTAATGGTTAATTGGTATATTTTGTAGCTTTTTTGAAAATAAGATTTTCATTAGATACTTTAAAATAATCTTTTAAAAATATTTATTGAGACTTTCATATGGGTATGCAGGAATTAAATAAGATTTTACTTATTCACAAAAGTTATTCTAAGCTGAGGAACCCTTGTGGCACAGTGGTTAAAGCAATCAGCAGCTAACTGTAAAAGTCAGCAGTTTGAACCTACCACCTACTCCACATCCATAGTCTGCATCCATAAAGATGTACAGCCTTGGAAACCCTATAGGGCAGTTCTACTCTGTCCTGTGGGTCGCTGTGACAGAATCCATTCCATGGTAGTAGGTTTGGTGTTGTGTATTCTAAACTAACTATGAAAGCTTCTTCACATAGCTTTCTTGTTTAATAGAAAGTTTCTATGTTCCTTAAGTAGTGCTGTAAGTAGTATATATAAGTAATATACATGGTAAATTCACACTAAATATGATAAAAATAGACTTTTACCTTTAACATTATTCATACCATATATATGAAACACAAAGAATCTTCAATTTGCCAAGTTCACAAGGTAATACATGTGAAATTTGTTTAATTATTTAAAATAAAATGTAGAGATAAATATTAGTCATATTATTGCAGATTGACTGCCTTCTCCTCTCTAGGGTTTGGGCCTTGTGCCTAGGCAGAATTTCCGTGGAGCAAAAAGCCTAGCCATATGATTTGCATATCTATAGCTGCTGCCTGAGTGGATCAGGTGCTTTACCTCTGGGATTTTCCTAGCTGGAAAGTAAGAATGTTAGTAGTGTAAAGTGTAACTTTCCCTTTTTAAACATAAGGTTAGGAAAGCACACATACACACACACACACACACACACACTTTGAAAAAACCACAATCCAGGAATTAGTATCAGTGTTTATGCTTTTCTTAAGGAGAAAGCAGCTCAAATCCTGTCACCCTGTGGGAATGGGAGGCCTGGAAATCAGAATTTTGAGCTTCATTGTTTTCTTCTTTCATAGGCCTCTCTGCTCCCCTTTCTGGCCACACCGTTGGCCATAGGTGCTTCATAGAGTGTCTCCTTCACTCCCCAGATTGGTGTTCTCTTTCCCTCCTCCCTCCTGCCTGTCTTTGCCTTGTCATAGTGCCTGAGAGGCTGGTGCTGTTGCTTTCCCCAGGCTGCTTCAGTGTAGGCCTTTGCCCAGACGCCTCTCCTCCTGGTCTTTCTGTTATGTTTGCCCCTGGGGTGCCTTAGCCCTTTAGTTTAAACACTTGGAGGAGGTGGTGTTTGAGCCTTCAGTTTCCACACTGCCTTATTCTTAGATATTTGTATAAGGGCCAATGGGGGTGGGATGGTAAAGACGTGGGGGAGGGCGAAGGGAAGGAAGCAGGGAGGATGGAGTAAAGGGGAAGAGCACACACAGCTACTAAGAGCTGCTGTAGCGTTATCGGTGTCAGATACAGCTTCAGTATCTGGGCTTCAATCCTTATTGGCTGTGAATCTCTCAGTATTCACCCATTGTACTTTGAGATTTCCCTCCTTGTCCACTCCCCAGACCTTGGAAAACGTTTGTCAGTGTAATATTATTCGTAGGAATGAATTAGTCGTGCTCCTTTATTTTTCAGTGTTAAATAAGCAGTTTAAAAACAAGGTATGGATTTCTTTGACTAATTTTCAAAAAAGTGTTGCTTTTGAACCCCTTCTGCCCTAACTATAAGTAAATAAATGGTTCAGTGTGCAGTGCAGGGGTCACATTTAATGGGATTAGGGTGCTTGTTCAGGGTAACATTAGACTAGATTTAGGGAATCGAATTTGTCAGAAGGAGCATGTGTGCCATCCCAGTAACTTTACCCACCATGGATGACTCTGTGCATAAATGATTGATCACCTTTACCACCTACCCTTACTTCTGCCCCCTGCCCTCTGCCAAAGTGCTCTTCCCAGAGCTGATGGACAGCTTTGTTTCCTTTTCATTTCAGCTGCGGATGAAGATATCCTTGCTAAAGGAAAACAGTCCATCAAGAGTCAGGCTTTAGGAAATCAGAACTCAGAAACCGAGATCCTCCTGGAAGGCGACGACGATACTCTGTCATCCGTGGATGAGAAAGATTTAGAGAATCTTACTGGTAAATTCACTGCTTGTGCAGATATTTCAGCTAGCTGTGGGCCAATAAGCATCTAATTACTTACTTTTTCAGATGTGACTGCTAGGACTACTAGCCTTACACCTACAATTGCATTAATTAAAGATCGTATTTGTTCTCCCATTTTCCCCCTCACCTTCAACACTATTCCCTTCTATTTGTTTTATTCTTTTCAATCTCCTTACCCTCCTATTTTTTTTTTAGGAGGGGGTGGGGTATGATTAATTTTCTCTGAAAAGGGAAAAGTTTAAAAGCAGGAGCAACAAAACCTGATTGTTTACCCATCCAGTGGGTTGCCAATTCACTATAGAATGAAGGCTAAAAGTGAAATTTCTGGCAATTGTATTATAAAGAAAGCATGGAGGCAGATGAATTTGCTTTGGTATGTAATTCTTAGTGAACATGCTGATGTACATTTAACGCTCTCAAAAAATCAATTCCAAGAACGCTGTGCCTCTTCACCAATTCATGTATTTTACTTCATGAAGGAATTTTGATTTGCATGCTGCAGATTTTCAGTTTTACTTCCCTTATGGGAAAAATTCTCTTGTTTAGACTGAAATTTTAGTCATTCATTAAATGGCTATTTTTTTTTCTTCAGTGCCTATAGCTCTGTCACTCAAGGTGGAAAGTCTAAAAGATTTCTACAGTAGTTTCTATTGGTGAAAAATTATATAATATTCCATTATAAAATAATTTTATTTTAAGAGAAAAAACACATTAGAAATATTTTATTTGGCTTTACATCTGTGGTACCATGCAAAAAATGGAAGATAGTATCTTCTCTGAGTACTGTAAACCTCTCTGTAAAGTAAAATAAAATTAATTGGAGCACATTGTTAAGAGATTTCAGGTGGTAGTGGAGGGTAAGGTGGGCACTGCTGTTCTCTAGTCTTTTCCTTCACGTCCATTTATCCATTTCCTCCTCTTTTATTTTACTTCTATTCTTGTTACTAGTAATACATTCATACAGTAATAGAGGTGAAAGGGGAGTTTAATTATATAATCTTGACAATGGCAATAGGATTAAGAAGTAATACACACTAATAAAGTGGTGTGGGTTAGAAATGAAGTGGAAATTGTCAGGGGTCTTCTGTAAGACCTAGGTTGCCCTAGCTCCTGCAGCTGTCTGCTTACCCTGTAATTGAATGTCTGAGAGTGATTGAAAAAATGTTATTTCTTCTCAGGATTACATGCTAATGTTCAGAGGGCAAAGGGAGACAGCAAAAGAACACATAGCTGCTTATTTCATCCATTTATAGGGATGAGCTTTGGGAAATCATGGCTGTTCTGCAGCTATCTGCTCTCCATCTGCAAACACAATGTATTTGTACATTGGGAATAGAGGGCAAAACCTGCTCTGATCTCCACAGAGCATCCCTTCTATTGTCCTACTGGCACACATTAAGATTGATGTGAGATTAAGGACCATCACCCTCCTAACAATCAATGGAAATGTCAATTCATCTGAATTTTGAAACACGTTTTCACCCATTGATTACCTGAATAGGTGTACCTTGTTTATAGGCACTATATTAATTCAGAACTAGAAGTGCCAATCTTCTCTATTGCTATTTTCTTTTCCTGTAGGATTTGTACAATAAGAGTTGGCATGGTGTTTCAAATTCTTACTTTATCTCTACATTAGTATGTTATAAAATTATTTTTTACTCCTTATTCTAGATTTAGATCCAATATAGTTCATGCTATTGTATCTTTAGTGAATCTATTGTTTTCAATAGCAGTCTGATTTGTCTCTTTGATAAGCCCTGTAGAGATTTGATTATTCCCATAAAAATTCATTCACTTGAAAACCTACCCTCCAGCTGTTTACTCCCAGAGTCCCTGAACTATACTAACACTAGATTTGTAAGCATTGAACAATATTTAACAATAGAAAAGAAGGCTTAGAAAAGAGGTATTTTCACCAGTCTTTCCTGTGGTAAAGTTATTATGGAACAGATTTTGTGTCAACCTGGCACAAAATCTTTGTATCAGAGAATATGGTTTAACATTTCCCACATCACCAATAAGCTAGTGATCTTTTTGTAGTCTTGCCTCAGCCAAACTCTAAGCTAACCTTTGGCCTTGGGAGCCTATTGAGGCTTCCTGCTCCTGGATGTTTGGTCCATGTTGTTTGATAGCCTGAGGCTTGTTTTCTAAATGGAATGTGGATGGACTTATTTAGGCAGAGCCACCTTCTTAACCAGAGACTAACACCAAAGCTTCACAGACTTTGTAAAATAATTGCATCCTAGTTTACTATGATCATTAACTACATGTTACAAATCTAGTGTGAGAATCCTGACTTTGCAGAGCAAGATTTGGATGGATCAAATATGTAAGTGTAGAAGGAGTTGGCAAGCAAGTTAGTACTAGAGGTGAGAATTTAGAAAATAAATAGAATCTCTGGTTGAACCTACTTCATTTTTGAGAAACATCATTCCAGGTTTTGTGGCTTGTCTCTTTCTTTCGGCAGGTCCCGTTAGCTTGAGCACACCGGCTCAGCTTGTGGCTCCCTCTGTTGTAGTAAAGGGCGCTCTTTCTGTCACCTCCTCTGAACTCTATTTTGAAGTAGATGAAGAGGATCCTAATTTCAAGAAAATCGACCCTAAGGTGAGGAGATGAGGAGGGGATTCATTTTTGTGGAATCTTTCTTATGGTGGGATAGTGGGCTACTGTTGCGTGGGATTGGCATTGGTAAAATCTGGCAGGCTTAGTTTGAATTTCCTCTGCTTACATGCAAGGCAGCCTTTTTTTTTTTTTTTTTTCTTTGAAACTTATGATTCTCTTACCATCAAGTTAAATTACTGAAGTTCATCTAGATCCAAAAAACAATTTCCACTTAATTACATTTATCATAAGCTCATTCGAGGAAGATTTAAAAAAAAAAAAAAAAAAAACCTCAGGAAACATTGTCTATAAATACATTTTTGCCTCAGAGGGTCCAGGGTGAATTAAGCTACAAAATTCAGTGAGATTGAGAGTGGGATCATTTTGTTTAGCCTTTATGTTTTCTGTATATAATACCAATATATCACCTTCCTTGCTTTGTCTCCATGACTTACTACTCTGTCGCACACGCATGCATGTTTTGTGTGTGTGAGATACCTCTGTTTCCCATTACCTATAGTATATTTTACAAGGCACTGCATAATTTCCTATTCTTAAATGAAAATGTAATTTCCCCTTTAAAATGTATTTCTGATTACTTTTCAGACCTTGGCAACTTTATTTTTACTAAGAAAGGTTTGTGTCACAGCTGTAAACCCAAAATAAGGTTTATTTCAAGAAAGTGAATGGTAGAATTTATTCAGGGAGGAAATAAGTCTCTTTAAAAGCAAAAGAGGAAACCTGTAGAAAGAGAAGGTGTTTGAAATATCAGAATAATTTCTTTTATAGACTGATAGCTAACACACACATAAATATTCTGAGTTTATGATAGAAGGGTCTTTGGTTTTATAATTGTATGTGAGTTATTAAATCGTAATGATATGAAAGTATTTCAAAGTAGCTCTTGATGAAAATGTTATAATTTTACTGAAAACCTTGCAAACAAATACCATGTTTTATGCACGTTTCTAGCACTTTATTTCAATAATTGCTGCCTTTATTAAGATAGGATTTGATAAACTGTATGACAGGAAGGCTATGATGTAACTGTTGTTTTGAGATTGATAATTCTTCTAATCCAATGTAGAGAAAACTTTATACTAGTTCTGAATTTACTTATGTCAATTAGTAAATTTTTCTATGTTGTGACCAGACTGAAATGTCTGACAATGTATTTTAACTTCTTTAGGAAAAGAAGGTAACCAGCATTACTTGAATTCTCATTTCTGGTAGTTAGAGAGGCAGACTATTTTATTATGCTTTTGGACAAATATGGCTTAAAAATCTAAATTCTGATTTAGTTTAAAGGTGTCTAATGAATTGTTCTCAAAATTAGAACCTCTGCTAGTCTTTGAGATGAGGTTCTTTGTGTTATTTGCTCCTTTGGGTGAAGTTATAACTTTTATTTCTCTCTGATCGTATTCTGTGCAGCATCATTGAATTATTTTTCCCCCCTTTGCTTGTGAAATACAGAATCTTTAAGCCTAATCACAGCAGTCGTCTTGTACCATTACAACCTGCCTGCCATTCCAGAAATTAAAACTTCCATGAATTTGTATTTTTAAAAAAATTCAGCCAATTATTAGAAGAATTTTATTTTTGTTTTGTATAGACGTTTAGTGCTTCATGTATTTTGTAAATAAGAAATTTGTGTTGCTGCAGTATTTTCTTTGTTGGTGGCATCTGCATTAAATTAAATAAAGAAGAAAAGAAGATACTGCATTTAGGAGATTTTTGCATCTTTTCAGCTTTATCAAGACTTAAAAACTTTTTTTTTTTCTAGGGTAGTTGCAGGGAGATCTGTGTCTACTGCTGCAAATACTTTTGAGTTAAAAAAATGATCATTAAGATACTATTTTTATCTTTTCAACTGAACACTCTGCCTCCTAGATCATGGAAGTGTAAGCATCTACGTACTGATCACTTTGAAAATGCTGTTAAGAATCAAAACATTTTCCCCAGAGAGTAAATGTCTTTTTGTTATTTAAAAAAAATTAGTGTATTTGTCTGGACCACTCAGTATTATGATGAGCTAATTCTATATCTGTAGGATGAGAGCTCAGGAAAACAGATACAAGGAATATAGGTTGAAAGAATGGAGATGATTCAGAACTGATAAGGTCAAGGTTTATATTTGTACCACAAAACTTTTTTTTTACTGGAGGATAGTAGTCTTACAACTTAAGCCTGTTTTGTCTAGTGAACTAGGTTTCAGAGCCTGAGTGGCTTCCTTGTTTTTCATCCATCTCTGCTATCCTGCAGTTCATCTCTCATATATCTCCTTCCACATTCAGACTTCTCCCTCTGATCTTTAAAATTGCTTTTCAGAACTTTTTTTTTTCTATACCTCTCATTAATGGATTTTCTCAATCAAGAAAGAAACTGGGCTAATTTCAAACAGTACGTTTTATATAGTAAAGGCTGACATCTGACATGGTCTGTACCTGTCCCTCGTCATTAGCATGCTTAATGACACGTATAGCTGCCTCCAATGTGAAGAAGACAAAAACAGTTCATTTAGGATATACTTAATGCTAGTAATTATTTAATTTTCTCATCAGTTATTTGCATTAAAAAGAAACCTTTGTTAAAGTCGAAAGCAGTGTATTGAGTTGTTACCTCAGTGAAGCAGAAAGAGAAGGAAAATCCTTTTCTAATTTGTAAATTCTTGGAACAGCAGTTTTTCTCTAGTCATAAAAATGATATAAACATTTTTTTTTGTTTGAAGTGCACGTAAACAGTTGCAGAATAATTTTTGAAATTTGATAAAAATGATCAGTTATGGAATTTAGAATTCAGACATTTAAAAATAGAAGTAATTTAAAATCTAGGTTGCTCCTATCATCACCATTGTGAAGGAGTAGGAATATTTTGCAGTAACTATTTCATTCTTTCGTTGGTGTGGTTGTCTTAATTAAGTTTTTGTCATTCTGAGCTTGAATAGCACAAATGGTTAAAAGTAAAATATCAACTATTTGAAAAAGATCCATAAAAGTTTCCTGATAGAATTTTTTAGACTTAAGGCATAAGAGAATAAATCTCTTAATTTTTAGTGTGAAATAATTTTTTTTCTATTTCAAAAGTTAGTATAGAAATCCAGTCTTTCACACTAATTTCTGTTTGCAAGTATAAAATGTCACTTTTAAATTTAAAATCCAGAAAACAAATGTATTATAGTTGGGTAAAATTAATATTTTCTCTTTTCTAAAGGTTTTTTTTTTGGGGGGGGGGATTGTATGGTTAAATATACAAAATGGACTATATTTTTAAATTTTTCAAATCAGAGTTTAAGTAGAAGCTTTTTGCATTTAGTTCCTCAAGTTGAACATCTTTTCATTGTAAATTATAACCCTGTGATCTCACCTGCCTTCATGTAAGAACATTCCACAAAACAGTCGGTGTAAAGTTAAAGTAATATTTTTATTACTGTTTTCAACAAGACTGGTTAAGGTGAGGGTAGAGGTGCAATAGAGGGAAGGGCACAGTCTGACATTGGCACTGAGATACATTTAACATCAGTAAAACTTTTTAAAAGAGAAATTTTACATATAGTTAAATAATTTTTGTTCACTTGGTGACAACATTCAGGCAACCAAAAACAAAATGAAAGAAGAGAGAAAAAGAGGGAGAAATGAGAGACAACGAACGAAGAGGGAAAAGAAGGAAAAGGAGGAAAACTACTATACATTGATTTGAAAATGTACCTTGGGTTTCATTTTGTGGTGGTAAAGCCCGATTGCTTCTTTTGTGTGATCTTTTAAATTCACATTGTTTGGAAGAAAACGGTTACTTTTGTGCGAGAATGTGCTGCGTTTTTGTTTGTTCACATGCCTTCTTTTTGTTTGCTTGTTAATTAACGAAGCTCTTCTGCCTGCTTCATGTTTCTTTCAGGTGGCTACCATAAAAGTTTGTGTCCAGAGTTTCCGCTTTTTGTCACTGAGTTGTGTGTGTTGTGTGTATGCGAGAGGGCGCCGGTTTGTGTCGCTTTTCAAGCAGCCTCCAGCACCCTATAGTTTGTCCAGGCTTTTGGGATTGGTGAGAATCTCCCTGGCCAACCTCCAGGTCTGCTTGGCAGCACTCTCCAGGGCCGAGTGGGGCTTGCCCTGAAAGAGGTCGAGGTTGGGCAGAAAGTAGTGAGGGCAGCGGCGGCACTGCAGGCAAGAAATGAGCTGCAGCAAGATGCCGTTGAGCCGGTCGCCGAGGCAAGCTTCGTCCCAGTCCGTTTCCCGCGGGTGTTTCTCGCACTCGTACAGTAGCAGCGTCTTCATGTGGTAATTATTGAGCGGCTGGCCGGGCAGCTCCAGGTGACGGTCCCTCAGCGTCTTCAGCACCGAGAGACACTTGTTTCGGCAGCCGCCCATCAGCAGGCGGTTCTCTGCCTCTCCAAACTGTAGCACCCAGGCGTCGCTCTCCGCTGAGCTCTGCTTGCCTGTCAGCGAGTAACACTCCTTCGAGAGCAAGTTGAATCCCTCGGCCTTGACCTCTGCCACCCGATTGGGGCCAGGCCAGGGAATATGGGGCATAGGCCACTGCGCCGCGCTGCGAGGCCAGATCCCGGTGCACTTGAACGCCGGAGTGATTTGCACCACATAGCGCTCTCGTATGCGTAACTTGACCTCACTGGTATCGGCGATCATCTTAACTACATCCCGATAGCTGCACTTGTCCACGGCCTGTGCCACCAGCGTCTGGAAACGCGAGCGGATCTTGCGCGCGGAGAGGTAGCCGGACGCCGTGATGAACTCGACCCAGAGAGACATGCTCCGCTTCCGCCCATCGCTCAATTTGAGCACCGCGCAGCCAGGGAGGGAGCCATCGTCCACGAAGTTGAAAACGCCCATCTGGTTTAGGTAGAGCACCACCTCGAATTCGGTAGGCGAGATGACCTCCAGCCCTTCGTAGCGGGCATCGATCTCGCTCAGGGAGCTGATGAAACGAGGCTCCTGCACCTCCACTTCCTTTAGCACGTCCGAGACCACCTTACAGACTTCTCGGATGGTCTTAGCGATGGCTGCCTTGCGTGCTTGGCAGCGCTCAGTGTAGTATTTGTTGAGCTGGTAAACCAGCTTGGCCTGAGCGGCGATCATGTTGGGGCACAGGTCCGGGCTATACACCGGCGTCTCACAATACGTTGAGGGATCCAAGGCTCACGCACTGGTGGTGGCCCTGCGGCTTGCAAAAGAGGCTGTGCGCTCCCCCTGCGCCCCACTTTCACTCTTGCTTTCCACCTGGGTCGACTGGCCGAAGCTATTGCCCGGCTCAGTCTTTGGAAAGCTTTCTTCTCCAGAAAATAAGAAAAAAGGTTATCTTTCAAAAAGAAAAGTACCTGCTGCGACTTTCTGCTTTCTCTTAATATGTAAAATGAGGCTGATGGTGTGCGACAGATGAAGGTAAAAAAAAAAAAAAAAAATCAGGTTACCAGGGGGTGAGGTTTAGATCCCTGCATTCGGTGGAAGAGATTGCCCAGAAATCTGGAAGTGAGGCTTTTTAAGTGCCAAAGTAAATTTAAAAATAAAAGCGAAACATTCGGCGGTTCATTCTTAAACTCCTCTCCGCCTTGGATTGACTTCTTCACTCGGTTCAGGTGAGTGCCTTCTTCCTCACCTTTCCCCAAATGAGAGGTGAAGGATGTAATTAATGTCTTGAGAGCTGCGAAGCGCAGCTCAGTCCGCGGCACACTCGGAGGTTTGCAGGCGCCCCACGCTCTGAACGTGTTGGTTTCGTCTCTTCTCAGGGGGTCGTGGTGTCGTGGTTTTGCTCTTCCTACTGGAGGCGTTGTCTGGACTGCGTTTGTTTGTAGTGGGTTCTTCTTTTCCTTCTCTAGGTGCAAACCTCTGGAAGTTGTTTGATAATCATTTCTGCTTCGTAATTTATAATTTTGACCCTCACAAAATCTACTTTAATGGGACCAAGTCGTTGCTTGCGTTGCATCTGGGTTGTAGTTATAAGGATGCAGGGTTTTCTCCTCCCCCTTTAGGTTGCTTGCTTGAACAGAGTCCACTTTCTGAGTAGTCTGTCCCTCCTCCCTTGCGACGTCTCTCCCTTTCTTCCTTCAATCACAATCTCTCTCTTTCTCTCTCTGTGTCTGTCTCTGTGTCTCTCTCTCTCTGTCTCTCCCTCTTTCTCTCTCTCTGTCTTGCTGTTTCCTGGAGTTATTTAGTTTATGAATGGTCCCTGGGCCATCATGAGGGAGGTGGAGCTTCAGTTCCTACAATCACTATCCGAGCTGTCAGTGCTTTAGCCAATCCAGAGAGAAGACAGGCACGCTTGGTGGACGGTAGCAGTCCTCGCTGCACATGATAAAGAAAGGGGGTAAACAGAGAAGTAAGGAAACTGGAGGAGATAGTACAAGCCAAATGCTCGCACCACTTCACAGTCTCCTCTTCTTTATCCTTCTCCCTTATCAGTTGCAAGGAAGAAAAAGAGAAAGTCTATGTAGATGAGAATCTCTTGGAGAAGGCTAGTATAATCAGGGAGAGTAGCAGTGGTTCAGAAAGGTTCGCTTGTTTTTTCTTTCTCCCTTGGTAATCTATCAACACTGTAAGGAAGAGGTGCAAAGTAACAAACATTATTTTGGCTTCAAGGCAAGTGAGAGAAAGAAGGAATCTTGGAAAGGACTTAGGTTTTCTCCTTCTGCAGAGTGTTCTTGTTTCCATTTCCCTCCTCTGCCATTGTTGCCTAGAGTGATTGCTGTATGTGTGCCAGTGGGGGGTGGAGTGGATATAGAATGAGGGTTTATATCCATAAATCTCCTTTGAGTAATTTCGATATGCTGTTGGAAAAAAGAGGCCAGGCAAAAATATTTCAAGTGCCTTGTTTGATAATTATTTTGTAATTAAAATTCAGGTGTATTTAGCTATTATTTTATTGTTACTAGAACTAGCTAGTTACTAGAGGGAAAATATTTCTGATTAAGTTGTGAGGAATGGTGCAAATTTATATATGGTAGAATTTAGTAGTATATACTTATAAATTAAAATACGCCATTAAATTTGTTTAAAACAAATAAAAATGAACGGAAGCAAATGTGAACTTGAGTTAAAGTTTTCCTAAAATGTTAAATCTAATTTTGAATTATTTTCTTAGATAGTACTGAGTTACACTTGTAAAATGATTTTATTTTCATAATTGACTCTTGCTTTTAAAAGACTTCACTGCTGCAAAAATCTATAACTATCCTGTTATTGATTACACAGATGGCTTCCCTCCCTTGGCATTTCAGTAAAACTTTGCATGTGCGTTTGATACATGAATTATTCCTACAAGTTGCATCCATTGTAGCCTTTGATTGGTATTTTAGCATTGAGGGTTTATGTTTGAATTTAAGGTGTCTGGACTCAGACTTTTTTTTTTTTTTAAATTAAGACACATCGGTAGATGTGTTAATTTTAATTTTATTTTGGGGTTTTCTTCCAGACCTGGGTTATGTGATAGGTATAAGAATCTGTGAAGCCGTTTCGGCAAAGTCTTCCTTTTGCAAAACTTTGGAAGGATATGAGAAGCCTAGGGAGGGCTTGGCTTGCACTGTTAAAGCCGGACCAGGTGAGCCTGAAATCAATTGTATAGGGAAACTTGGTTTCTTCCTCCTTTACTTGATGCCAGACACTTGGGCCTCTTGGTTGTTTCTTACGTCTGTGGCGCGGACCACTGGTGCCTCGTCACCCCTCCACTCTTGTTGCCCCTAAGACCGTTTCTGAAGAACTAGGTGGCTTTTAATGCCTTTCAAAAAAAGGAAAACAAGAAAATCGAGTGGGATTTATTTTTTAGCATTGGTCTTCATTGGCGAGCCCGTGGGAAGAACAGTCGGAAGTAAGCAAGAGCTTAGCTGAGCTGAGACTCGGAGCTTAAGGCATCTTTTCCAGAAAGGCAGGGACTTTGGGGAAAGCGATCTCCAGGCTTCTGGAGGGAAGCAGCCTGCGTCCCAGAACATTTCGCGGCTGAAGGATCCAGAGGAGTTGCAGCGCCCTCGGGATTTACACGGGTGGGAAACCCGGATCCTGTCGGTAACCCGGTTATTCCCCACGCAGTTGGTGCGCCCTCTGGAAAGTATTACTGGGCAGCAGGGCACTTTGTTGCAGGAAGTTGTCTGACCCGCTGGGTGAAGATCCGCCACAGTTTCTGCCCTGGGCAGTTACTGGGCGGAGACTGTTGGCGGGCCTAGAAGGTGCGGAGCTTTCCCTCCCAGACCCTCGAGGTGCCTACTTCTCCGTAGTCAGTCGCTGGCGAGCGGCTGAGGCCTCGGGCGTGCACTGGACTGGCCCTTGATGCTCCTTGGGAGTGAGTGTTTGTAAACAAGTCCCCGGGGAACGGGCAGTTGTCCATTCTCAGAGCTCCCGCGCGGCTCTGGGTCTGGGTCCGGGTCCGTCCGGCGCTGAGCGCCCTCTTCCCGCACCCTCCCTTCTCGGGTTGGACAGCCCTGGCTGCGCGGGACTTCGTGCCACCTCTCGCCCGACAGGCCCTCCACTTCTCCACTGATCCAGGCTCTGTCAAGCGCATCCAAGTTTAGTCGTGCCCTTATCCCGGCGTTTCTCCACTTTTCCACACAAGAGACGGAGGGATGATAAAACGTTACAAATGTTTTGATTTAAAAACAATTCATTACCAATTTACTCTGCCTAAGGTAGATGCTATAGTAAATAATAAATCAGTTAAACAAAGGCGACTTTAATTTATTGCTGTATTGCTAATTAGAAACGTCATTAGAACAATAAACTTAAACACTTCCAGCAAATAATGCGCCCTCTTGCTAGTTTCTCTCCACTACCCTCCCCGCCCCCACCCCAACCTCGCTATTGCCTAGCTGCCTCAGCTCTAAGAGCAGCTTCAGCTGTGTGTTTGCGGATCCACTCTTCCTCTGGTTGAATAATTGAAGGGGGAAACGGTATCTGAGGAGGCTGTAATTGAAGAGCCCTTGTCACCTCTGCTTTTATGTATGTTAGTATAGAAGTCCATCAGCAGCTCCTTGATGGTGTATTAAAACCAAGTGGCAGCCGCTTCTGCAGGAGATACCGTATTCTATTAAAGGAGACCAAGTGAGAGAGAAACTCTAGAGGCTAAAAGCCACTTGAAGTCTTCAGACCGATTGATCTGTATTCTCTTGTTATAATCCGTCTCATCATACTTGAGTTAATGAGGCAAAGGAGGGGGAGCGAAATCTGATGGTCCTTGACAAATTCATTAGGGAGGCTGCAGGACATTTTATTTGACTGTTAAACATCTTGTTTGTTTGGTTTAGGCAGTGCCAACATCAGCAGGCTTCTGCCCAGAGCTGTGGGGTTGGGCTAGTTACAATGCATTCCTGGAAAGGGACGGAAGAGGACATTCAGGATGTGATTTGGCTTTTTTGTTTTGGGTTGTGTGTAGTCATAACCTTCAGAATTCTCTAGGCTTTACCTTCACCATCATTACTTTAGAAACATTTTACTGATATGGGCATGCTTTTAGATACTATAGACTAAAATATGTGTATTTTTAAAACTTTAGTCTGAAAATTCCCAATTCTTAAAAAGAAAAATAGGTCTACAACTATTACTGTATTAGTTTTTGAGAAATGTGATTGTTTACAGGGTCCAGGGCAGTAGCTAAATTACAAATAATACCCTATTTTTGTTTAATCGTGGTTAAATAAACTTGCAGTTATTAATTGAATTTTCCCTAGTAGTGAAACATTTATGAGTACAGAATAAAATGAGCTGCTTAAACATGATAATTTCAAAAGAAAATTGGTATGTTTGAACTGCAGTGCCTTTTACATAGGGTGCTCTAGAAATGGTGCAAAAATAAGGTGACAGGTTAGGGGAGAATATATTGAAAACACTGAAAATACTTCTGATTGAAGAACAATGGACAGTTAAGGTAAATGCTAACCTTAAAATATTTTATTCTAAGATAATAACATAGAACTTAATTTTCTCAAAATACTTATGAAAAGAAATAAACAATCCAATTGAATAGAAAATTCAGTTATGTTTTCCCTGGGCTAATTTAAACAGTCTCAGCTTAAGTGTTTTGAGAAAGAACTCTGTCTTCCATTTATAGGAAAACAGTATGGGAGAAAAAAAGAACTAATGTCCTTTGCCTGTCATTTTTATACATTCTTGCACTGCTGATGAAACTTGAACAGTTGCAGGGAATGTATGGATTTGAAAAGAAATGATTCAGTAGTTCACGTTGTGTTTCTCAGAAGCAAAACCAGACTAATGGCTAAAGTCAGTGCTTCTGTCGATTTGACAGTTATAATCCTGTTTACATTTCTCGAGAATACAGCATCTTTATACTGTTTTATTTTTTGTTGATCTTTCCTTAGAAATGTGTTAAATGAGTTAAAACTTGGTGTATTTTCTATTTTCTCAGATTGCTGAAACTAACCTGTAGAAATAGTGTATAGTATTTCAATAACCTTTACTAAAGAATGCACATATTTTAGATTATATGATTTTGTTTTCCAGGAAAACATTTTAGAAGCATTCAAAAAATAATCTGACTTAAGTTTTATTGATTTAAAATTCTTTGAAAAATTTATACTGCTTTAAAAAACAAAGGACCACATGTTTGCCTGCATATATTTTGTTTTCTGACTTTGAAACATTAATATGGTCACTCAATTTTTAGTTCTTATATATGTAATCCTTTGACATATTTATTTATAAGAATGTTGATACCTAAGAAAATTCACCTTATTAAGTCAGTAAAAGGTCAAAATATAAATGGGGAAATAAAACACTTAAAATTTTAGACTTTAAAACCTATTCCAATAAAATACAAAAAGTAAACACAAATACAGTTCGTTGTGTATAGTTGATAAAGTAATTATATCAAAACATCTGTAGGAGCTTTAGCAAAATAGTGATTAGGATTATACTATCCAAATTAAAAGTCAAAGTAAAATTACATTTCATTCTCTGTCATATGATCTAATTTAATAAAA